TCAGACCGTTTACGGCCGTAATTTATTCCCATTCAATCTCCCGAGGTCATGTTAGTCGTATCAGTCGTCGCGCTGTGGGAGGTGTTCGATGGTGTCTACGTCAGTCGCTGACCCCTCCCTGACGATCATCGCCTAGCTGCATGCTAGCGATGGCAGTAGTAGAGATCTAGATACTGGACTTTCTCATGTGTTAGTAGACAGCGGTGTTTGCTGGGCGACTAGACTTGCGATCTGTCTGGTGCATGTTGCAAGTCAACAGCGATGAAGGTGTACCCGGACTTCCGCTCGCAGCGATGTGGCCTGTGCGTACCTGCCCATGGAGGTACGCGTCCACGCGTCTGCATGCCCCAAACATCAAACATCGCGTCGTCGCGCGCTCTCCAAAACTCGAGGCAAAGAACGCGCAATTTGTCTATATTGCGTACTGTCGGCACCTGCGCAATGAAAAGACTGCACCGTTGTTGCCACCGTGTCGCGCAAGGTCCTATCCTCGCAAGGACGCGTCGGTCGATATGACGGATCGACGGATGTCGCAATAGTCATGAACTTTCGACCACTGCAGTCCCCGCTTCTCGCACTGAAATCCGAGGTCACTCGACATAAGCATTCGGGCGCGATCATTAGTCACTATGTACCCATCAGAACGGTTCAAACCTTCTCTATCCCGGTGACTAGCTAGGTATATAGACTGTCATCTTCCTACAGTATCGAGAAATGATACACCACATTCCCAACATTCACATATGGCTTCTTTCGTATACAACAGCGCTTTCCAGTGCTGCGTACCCAACCCACTGACCCCTCGAGGAGAAGGCGAAATACCCACCCCAGAAGAAGAAGCATTGGCTTGCAAGATCAATCGCGCCCTCGCATCTGGACCCATATCCATCACCAAGAATGCCACCATCGCCGATTGGAGCCACTGGGGCCCCGACCGAAAACTAGTCATTCTACGAGAGGGAACAAACCACTGGACAGCCTTCCCCGGAAACGAGAACACAGTCGGCAATGTCCCGATGTGCGCCGACCCCATGGGTCTCCAGTGGATCCAAGATGCCTATGCCGCGAAGCCAGCACCTACGAACACTGCGCCAGGTCTCATATACATGTTGTGCGGAGCAAATCAGCACACTACCACGAATCCGGCAGACCGAACGAGCCCAGCTATTCCCATCGGGCCGCACTATATGATTTTATGGCCTTTCGAAGCTGAACGTGATGGGTTTCCGGATACGATTCGCGACCAGGGTGCCTGGGTCATGTTCGACAAAACGCCGTACGCTCATTTGCACGTTTGTGGTACACCCTGGGCGGGGAAGGAGTACGATAGGGAGAAGACGAAGGCGAACTGGGATTTACGTTACGAGGATAGGACTTGAAAATGATTTTGTCCCGTTAAACTTTTAAAAACGAGCGATAAGAGCTGGTCACCGAAGAAGCTAGCCATTTTTGATGAGATCGATGATGATGGAGAAGATGTATGCCGTGACGGAGTTGTTGTATTTTTCATAGCAAAGAATACCTGAAACAAAGATGGCGCAGTCTGAAAGCTCAGGCATTAGATCTAAACCACAGTCAAGGCAGCGCTACGTCCATCTCATGCCCAATCAACATACTATGCGCACTCATCCACAACTTTGCATTCCCTCAGCCCTTTAGCTTCAATCTTCCTCTTGTAGCTGATGACCACAGCCTTCTCAAACTTTACCTTCCCCAGGCCCACTTCGCACCAGAGCGAGTGCTCTTGGTTTTCGAAATCGTCAAGTGCGTTATAAACTCCATCGGTACGTTTTATAGTACGGTATAGATTCTCGGGATATAGGCCTTTCGTATCCTGGGCCTTGCAGTCATCCATGAATTTGCGGTACTTGTGGTGATGTTCAGACGCATAGCATGTAGGACAGAGAAAGTTTGGCTCGGCGTGCGTGCATATGTTGACGTCTCTGCAGTTCGGTGCGCATTTCGACGACTCTTTCAGGTGTAGGAAAGAGGCTTGAATAGTGTGGCCGCACATCAGGATATGGACTGGTAGGCCTTGACAAGGCTCGACGCGCTCTGCGATGAAGTTAGGAGCCATGATGTTGATGATGATCGGCTAGGAAGTCTGTGTTCGGTACAGGAAGGGCTTTCTGGTCTGTAGATCGTGAAATTGCGCGAGCGACTTAAATCGACCGGTCCAACTGCACTGTGAACATAGCGTAAAGGACTACTGATACATGTCGTCGGGTGCCATTGTTACTGTGTTGTACAAAGCGCTGAAGGTCTCATTGACCGATAACAATTGTGCTACATTCGCATGGCCGATGCCGTATCGTGATCTGAACGCATTTGGAACATCATCGTCGGAGGATTATCAAAGAGCGAAAGATGACGCGAAACGAGGGTGATGGAGTGGCCACTGCATGGACGCGATTTGACCGTGAAGCGCTTCGGGAAAATGAGAGCCTTGGAGATCGTGCTTCTTTGTACGCGATTAGTGGCAGCCCCTCGACTTGCGATGATGGAATCAAAGGATGATGATGGTCGTGCACAGAATCTTGGTAGACGACTGCCAGCCCAGGGCTGTGATGCACGTGCGGGCTGCAGAGACTAAGCCTATTTTGACTTAGTGGTGGATGGACTTAAGGCTGTCAGCTGGCTGCAGTGAGCCAAGACGTCACTTTCGCAGAAACAATATCGAACGCGCAACATCAAGTACCACCTCCTATCGTGGCTGAGCATCGTACGGTAATTGCATCGGTCTTGTCATCTTGTGCTTGCTGCCTCTACTAATGTACTAGTCACCTTGATTACTATCTCTGCTTGCCGTCCAGCTGGCGCCAACCAAGGAATTAACGACACTAGTATAGGAGTCCGGAGTCCTTTCTCATTATCAACCTTGGTGCGCGGACGTGCTGCCCGACATATCTCGGCCACCGTCATGTCAGCTCTTTGCATGCCAAGCTCAGCGGCGAGAGAAGAGCGGAGGAAAACGTCCACCACGCCCTGGTCTCAACACAATATCCATGAGATAAGGTGACGCAAGACATGGCAGTGCAAATTACTGGAGCTCATGTTAATGAGATATAAGAACGGTGTGTTGCGACCGTGAAGAGCATCACACATAGCTTTCGCATCCACGCCAATCGACTCAGCATACATTCTACCATCTCAACGTTCAGAAGATGCCGCTGTCCGCCGTCACATCTGTAGCCTTCGTGGCCCTTCTTCAGATGCTTCCTGCTACGGCACAAAATATGTCATATGGAGCCAACAACTTCTACCGCAGCGACAACGTCACAATGTGGCCGATCACCTTCCCCAGTCTCTACCAGATGACCGTCGCTGGCAACCTCTTTCTACCCGACAACCTCGATCGCACCACGAACGCGTCTGCCATCGTCGTTGGCCACCCAATGGGGGCTGTGAAGGAACAGTCCGCCAACCTGTACGCTACGAAGATGGCTGAGCAGGGTTTCGTCACTATCTCAGTCGACGTTTCGTATTGGGGCGGCAGTGACGGCGAGCCGCGCAATGTCGTCCATCCTGACGTCTACGCCGAGACCTTCAGCGCTGCGGTTGATTACCTAGGCCTCCAGGACTACATCGACCGCGAGCGAATTGGTGCCATTGGCATCTGCGGTAGCGGCTCATTCGTTCTGAGTGCAGCAAAAATCGACCCGCGCATAAAGGCCATCGCAACAGCAAGCATGTACGATATGGGTGCAGTAACCCGCAACGGTCTACAGCGAGCTCAGAGCCTCGAACAACGTAAGCAGGTCATCGCGACCGCGGCGGCGCAGCGCTGGGTTGAAGCCAGTGGTGGAGAGACGGAGTACACCGGCGGAACTCCTCAGGCAGTCACCAACGAGACTGATCCAGTTGGACGCGAGTTCTACGACTTCTATCGCACGTCTCGCGGAGAGTTCACACCTGCAGGATCAGCGCCAAACCTCACCACGTACCCGACGCTTTCCAGCCAGACCAAGTTCATGAACTTCTACCCCTTCAGCGACCTCGATAGCATCTCTCCCCGTCCAGTGATGTTCATTTCCGGCGACATAGCACATTCTCGCGAGTTCAGTCAGGACGCATACGACGCTGCTGCAGAACCGAAGGAGCTGATCTGGATTCCGGGCGCCGGGCATGTAGACCTGTACGATCGCGTCGACTTGATCCCGTTTAACAGGCTCACCGCGTTCTTCCAACAGAACCTGGGCGAGTAGATTCGAGAGAAGCTCTTCGGTGCGTGGACAAAGCAGCTTATGATAATATCCGAAGGGCCTGTAATAGATAGAGTAGCATCACAGCAATACAACGACTCACCCAGAGGCACTCAACTGATTTCAGATCTTCCGTTCGTTCTTTGCGGCAAGCTTGCCCTGATGTGTACCTCGATCGAATCTAGCTTGTTGAGAGAGAGCCTCGGTCTAGCGAACCCGTTTCCATGTGATGATAGCTGTGAAAGAGACGAAACTGGAATATGCGACGCGTTATCTTTCGACTTCGGAGGCCGACCGGTCCGTAAAGTCGCATATAAGAGGTATCGTAATAAAGAGCCAGCACCACGGTACCGCGATGACGCGTTCGACTCTGTCGCGAAACACCTCGTATTTCGTACATCAATGTACAACTCTAATACCTAGCGCGAAACAAGACCACATTGTAGTCTGGCATGAGTGCGCATCTCCCGAGCTCTACTTCGTTGAAAGTTTGTTGAGATAACGCGCTGTCAGGGACATCGTTGGGGATTCGGGCCATTCGGCTAGTCATAACTTCTCTCCAGCGCGGGGCTTACTGACGAAACCGCATTAGCCCGCTCATCCCTTCCTTCTTCCGTTAATCCAAAGGGTCAACAGATGGTAAGCGGAAGGGCGGTAAGCGATTTAAGCATTTGCTTGGTGGCGCTTAAGATGGTGCCAATGTCTTTGCATATTGCTTCGTCTGCAGCCTTGCTTGCTGCTTCTCTGTTTGCGTTGCGACATTGTCTTTTCTGAGAAAACGGGCAGGCGGACGGCAAGATGGCGCTTCCGAACGATGTCGAGGCGTGCGAGAAAGACTTGCAGAGGGTTTCGGTACGCATCAATTGGGAGAGCATCATGATTTGCTTTCTAATACTGTCAACAAGACTCTAAACACTCTCAGGACTCCCAACACAGCGATGCACCGGAGAATTACGATACTGCAGCAGTTCGCGCCTTAGTCTGGAAACAAGACCTTCGCATCATCCCCCTCACAGCAGGAATCTACCTCCTCTGCTTCCTCGACAGATCCAACATTGGCAATGCCAAAACCCTCAATGCCAATGCCGGAGAATCCCTCCTACAAGAAGCCAACATGACCAACTACCAATACACCATTGCGCTCATGGTCTTTCTTGTCGCTTACGCTGTTTTTGAAGTGCCCAGCAACTACTTCCTGAAGAAACTGAAACCCAGTCGCTGGATTGCTTTTCTCATGTTTGGTTGGGGTGCGTGCACAATTGGACTTGGTGGCGCGAACAACTATGCGACTGTTACCGCTGTGCGGTTCTTGTTGGGTATGTTTGAAGCGGGATTGTTTCCGGGGTTGGTGTACTATTTGACGTTTTGGTATCGTGCGCAAGAGAGGAGTATGCGTGTTGCTATCATCCTGGCGAGCGCGACGCTCGCCGGTGCGTTCGGAGGCGCGATCGCATATGGCGTTGGGCATATGAAACAGGTCCAGGGTCTTTCTGCATGGAGGTGAGTCTTGACGCATAGTACGCATGTGAGGGTGATACTGACTTCTATAAAGGTGGCTATTCATCCTCGAAGGCATTCCCTCCTGCGTCTCATCAGTAGCCGTGTGGCTCTTTCTACCCGATTATCCCGAAGAAGCTTCTTGGTTATCGAAATCCGATCGCGCACTAGCAGTCGCACGGCTCGAGAAAGAAGGATCAAAAGGTGATGCGCCGTCGTTGAACTGGGAAACCGCAGAGGCAACCCTACTTGACGGCCGACTCTGGGTGCATTACATCATCTACTTCGGCATCTCAGCGCCATTCAGCTCGCTTTCTCTCTTCACTCCGACGATTACTGCAGGGTTGGGTTACGAGAACCTCCAGGCACAACTCATGACAGTGCCACCGTACGCCGTCGCATACGTTGTTTCGATAGTCACAGCTTGGTCATCGGACTACTTCAATGCCCGCGCGTTGCACTCAGCTGTCTTGGCTACCATTGGAGCAATTGGTTTCCTGGCATCGGCCCTGCTTCCAGCTGAATCTTTCCATGCGCGCTATGGATGTTTGATCGTTGCGGCCAGTGGAGCTTTCTCTTGTATCCCACCACTGCTGGGTTGGTTGAGCAACAATATGCACAGCACCGCTGCTGCAGGATTGGCTATCGCATTAAACGTCTCCTGGGGTGCTCCAGGTCAAATCGTGGGTGTTTGGATCTACAAGGCAAACGAGAAGGAGCGCGGGTATCCTACTGGCCATTGGACGAACTTTGGAATGCTGGTCATGGTTGCTGTCGGCTGTGTTGGGTTGAGATTTTACTACCAGTGGCGCAACAAGAGATTGCAACGCTTGGGACCGGATGCGACGGGAATGGACAGAGAGTTCAGTTATTGAAGATAGTATATTATTTGGTAGAGCATGAAAGCCTATTCAGTCGCGGCATAACTGGCCAAGATGTCTGACAACCGACTTGACTAAGATCTATGCATGCGACTCAACGCGCTCGACACCATTCTGCTTCTCATACTGCATCGCAGTCTCCGTCAAAGCAGGCTTCAGTGAATCCGCTGCTTCGCGCGTGAACTTGCGTGCAGAAACCTTGTGCTCAAACATGAGATCGAGCTCAGAGTAGGTGAAGCCCTTCGCCTCGGGAAGACGGAAGTATCCCCAAAGGATGAAGAGAAGCGCGATTCCAGCCCAGAAGAAGCCACCCTTGGCGCCCCAGTTCCAGTCGTTCTTGCCAACCATCTTCGGCATGATAGTGTTTGTGACGAAGACGATGGAGTTGTAGGAAGCACGAGAGAGTGCCACGGTCTTGACACGGAGGCGCGAGGATGGAATTTCGGCGGCGAGGGAGTAGCAGATTGGTCCAAGAGAGAGCTGATTGTGTTAGCTTTGGTCTGGTGGCTTGAGGAATGCAAAGACTTACCTGGAAGCAGAAGATCATCAGAATAATCAAAACACCTCCAGCAAGACTGGCGCTCTTGTTGGTCGGCGGTGCAAGGCCGATGAATCCGACGATCATAAGGATGATGAAGATGGCCGTCAATCCAACGAGGTAGATAGGTCGTCGACCAAAGCGTGTCATGATCCACCAGGCAATGAAGCATCCAACGAGACCCAGGCAGTCTTGACCGATAGTAAGATGGAAAGAATCATCCTGGCTGAGGCCTACACCTTGCATGAACTGGGTTCTGGTAAAGTCAGTATTTGTTTGTTTGGTCTATGATAAGGAAACTTACCCAAAGCCCATGAAGGGAACACCGCAAAGAGCTTGAGTGATGAAAGCCATGGCTGAGACCTCGGTACGGTGTAGATCGCTTCCTTGGAACAAATGCCAGTAGTTGGTTCCAGAGCCGACTTGCTTCTCATACTGGTCGGTTACAACCATCATCTCCACGTGCGCATCAAGGTCGAACTCGATGCCTTCTGTGGGTGTCGTGATCGCGCGAATAGCTTGTTTGGCCTCGTCGATGCGACCTTGTCGGACCAACCACCATGGCGATTCTGGTGCGAGGAAAGTAGCCGCGATGATAGGGATAGGCCAGATCCACTGAAGAGCGAAAGGAATGCGGTAGCCCCATTGAGTTGTGTTCTGCATCAGGCCAGTGAGGATGCCGGTGGACAAAAGACCGCCGATGACCCAGCACATGTTGATCCACGAGGTCATGTATCCTCTAAGATGCATAGGGCAGAGATCCGCAGCATACGAGATTGCAAGTGTCTGGAAGACACCCCATGGAAGACCCTGGATGATACCTCCGACGAGGAACATCTCCAATCCTGTGGAGAAGAACGGGATGAAGATGGCAGCAGTCATGAACAGCATGCTGGCAATCATGGTCTTCTTGTATCCAATCCATTCGGTGATGTATCCGTTGATGATGAGACCGAGAATGCATCCGACCTATGCCTGTGTCAGTAGAGCTCTTCCAGTCGACATGCTCATCGAGAATCTGCGTACCTGAGTTCCGTTAAGGATGATAGTCTGCCACCTCGCAGACACAAGCTTGTTGCCATCCGCATCGACTTCATTGCCGAACCTGTTACGGAAGGGCTGGAAGGCGAAAAATTTGTTCATGAGACTGGTATCGTATCCCTCCATCACAACGCAAAGCGAAATGACGAAAGAAAAGACGATTGCCTTCCACCAGAACCTCAAGGACTGTCGGACGGACATGTTGTGCTCATTGTTGATAGCTGCGTTGGTGTCGTCTCCGGTGTTGTGGCCTTGTGTCGAGGTGACCCTTTCGGCGGCCACATGGCCAGTAGTCTTCTCTACCGAAGCCATGTCGAATTGAGTCCAGAGTATGCCCGGTATCAGAGATGGGTCTTCGGTGTTGATGGGTTGACAAGATGCAGGTCAACCACACGTACGGATCTGCGGTCTATATAGTCCCCAGCGCTGTGGTATGCATGCCTGACAGACGAACCCATTACAGGAGTCAAATGGCTAGCCCGAGAGCTTGGGAAGCTAAGCCCCGGTAATGACCGAAATGGGGCAAGACCGCGGTGAGTTGCGGGGAAAGACATTCAGAACAAGAGTGCCCATGGGGAGACGAGGCGTCAAGTGCGCAAATGAAGCCAATCAGAACCCCGACGAGGTTTGCCCGGGCACCAGATCGCGAGAGAACTTCAAGAAAGCTTTCCTCGAAGTTTTCCGCCGCTAACATTGTCACTTGGCGGACCCGTCCCGGCTCTAGTGTTGCAAAGAAAGCCAGGGCCCAGAAGTAGGACTTGCAGCAACCCTTCTCTTCTCCCGAGGTCATTATACGCTATAACATAAAACATAAGCTCTCATAAGACGACGGAAGTAACGTAGGTAATGCTCTGAGTAGGACAAAATCCTCGATTGAGCCTACCAGAGTGTTTTGTTGTTGTTTTGTGAGAAATGCCCGCTGTTAGCCCGAGCGTGTTTCCAACTTCCGATGTCACGCTAGCCGAGGCAATGTGTCTGCACGAGCCATGCAGACCCGCCTTTTAACCCGTGGCGTTGAGTTTTCCACGTGAGGTTTCCGCTCTCATCCTCCTGCATTCCATCCCCAGGTTCTTGCGCAAGTCCGTCAAGCTATGCGCAAACCATCTGCCTGCCAAGCGTGCCGGTAAGCATCTTGCACGTTGTCAGTAGAGGCGATTGCCCGCTAATTCGGTTGGAAGAACCCGACGCCGAAAATGCATCTACCCAACAGGCGGGCTCGCAACGGCATGCGAGTATTGCTTGTCACATGGTCTGCAGTGTCTCCAAGGCCCACCAGAGGGAGGTTACTATGCCAAACGCCGGGCTAGACTTCAAGAATTGAGTCAGGTACATCGAGCGTCCTTAGAACAAGCGGAAGCACTACCAAATCAAGGTCATGGCGATCTGCCTCCGACTGCCTTGAGACGAGCGCTGGTGGAGCTATACTTCGACTACATCCACGACCAGTTCCACTCCATGTACCATAAGGTTTCGTTCATGGACGATGTCGTAAACAACCGAGTACCGTCTATCGTGCTTTTCGCGATATGTGCGCTGGCTGCCAGGTTCTCTACCGACAGCTTCTTCGACGGAACTGATCCGAGAGAAAGAGGCGAGGTCTACCGCAAGGCAAGCGAGAGTTTGTTCAATATGCGCGACCTCACGCCTACCACAATTCAAGCATGCGTTTTACTGGGCGCATATGCTGCTGCGGGTGGTGAGACTGATGTCGAAAACATGTACTACAGCATGGGTGGACGACTTTGCCTGGCCCTCGATCTACCAAATCGACCCGTCACAAGTCTGGTAGAGCGCGAAGTCAACATCAGAACTTGGTGGACACTGTGCATGGTTGACGTTTGGTCATCTACTGCGGTGAGACTACCGCGAATCATGCCGTTTGACACTGCTGTGCCTCTTCCAATTGATGAGATACCGTTCTCTATGATGAACGACGGGGCTATCAGCGACCAAACGCATGGCATCACCTCACCTCTTCTCGCGGAGATGATCAAGCTCAATCGGATTCTGGCGAGGATCATCGACTTCAATCGACTGTGCGTGTCAGAACATCTCGAAGGCCTACCGCTGGAGAAAGGGATACGTGAACTTTCCCGCGATCTCGATATCTGGTTGGAGGAAGTCCCGCACCATATGCGTGACACGCCAGCGAACCTGACAGCCTTCGCGTCGCGTGGCCTTGGGCGTATGTTTGTAGCTGTGTATCTCGGCTACTACCACTACGGACTGCTCCTGAACTATCAATTCTTGTCATCTTCAATCGAAGCATCACCCGACTCCGGACGATATGCTGATGCCTGCAAGCAACATGCCGCCCGACTTTGCGCCCTCGTCTACCGCTCACAGTCCACGCCTGGGAGCGAAGTCTTGTATCCGGCAGTTTCGCATATCCTTGTCGTTGCTTCCACCGTTCAAATCCACACCTTACTCTTTTCCGGTGACGAAAGCCAGATACGCATCTCAAAGACCAGATTGGAACGCAACTTCGAGATACTCCTGCGGCTGAAGACCTATTGGCCGAGTGTCGACGGTGCAATGAGTCGTCTTCGGGCGTTCCACCAGACCTGTCTCCGAAGCAAAGAGACCAGCTTTGTGCTTGATCGGTGGCTGTTGCGCTTCCTGGTCCAATTTGCCCCTCATATGGAGCTCGAGCCAAGGGATAACGACCCCGAGTACGAAGCGTTGCTCGCATTGAGCAGGCAATCCCCATTGTCGTGCTATTCAGGCCTGTCCATGTGATCATGCGCGACCGAGATTCTGAGCAGCACGCTGGGAATCCTGGAGAACAAGGACGGCAGCGAAGTGGTTCATTACGGCTCAAGCTGGTGGAGCCGAAATTAGCGTCGCGAAACTTACGAGCTTTCCTGGAGTGTGGAGCCCCAAGAGAGCCAGGGCTTGGCGACAGGGTCCGCCGCCCACGTTTGCGGTCCACTCGAAGTAGTACACACGTGTAAAGCTGTTTAAGAGTCTGAATTGTGCTTCTTTGAAGCAAGAATCACCTTCGCACTCAAGTCATGACTCTATCACGCAGCACCATTCTCGTGGTCACGACGCTGCTGGGCAGCGCGACAGCGATCAACAATGGCCTCGCTACTACCCCTCCAATGGGCTGGGTCAGACATTCGTATCCTACTCTTGAATTGTCATTAATAATATCAGAACAACTGGAACGCTTTTGGATGCGACGTCTCCGAAGACCTACTCCTTACAACCTCCGCACAGATTGTGAGCTTAGGCTTGCGAGACTTGGGTTACAACTATGTCGTACTGGACGACTGTTGGCAAAACCCAAAGGGTCGAGACAAGAAAGGAAAACTTCAACCGGCTCTCGACAAGTTCCCCAACGGCTTGAAGTCCATATCAGATCATCTCCATAGCCAAGACTTCAAGTTTGGCATGTACAGCAGCGCTGGTGAAATGACGTGTGCGAGATTTGGTAAGATGGATCAAATAAATATGCCTCTTGCATCAAACTGATTCAAAGTAGAGGGCTCGCTAGATCACGAGGTCGACGATGCAGAAAGCTTTGCAAGCTGGGGTGTCGATATGTTGAAATACGACAGCTGCTACCACATGGGTCGTGTTGGCACACCTTCGGTCTCATTCAACCGCTTCAAAGTCATGTCAGATGCTTTGAAATCAACAGGAAGGAACATTCTCCTCAATCTGTGCAACTGGGGAGAGGATCTTGTCCACACAGTAAGCACCACCTGATACCACACCCGAAGATGTTCAAGCACTTATCAATTATAGTGGGGAATGAGTATCTCAAACAGCTGGCGCATCACTGGCGACATCTACGACTCTTTCTCTCGTCCCGATGATCTATGCGGATGCAACACCGTATCACCGGGCGACGTCAACTGCATAGCACCCGGCACACATTGCTCAGTCCTATTCATTCTCAACAAAGTTGCGCCCTTTGCCGACCGCAGTATCCCCGGTGGATGGAGCGATCTCGACATGCTTGAAGTCGGCCAAGGCGGTATGACCGACGAAGAGTACAAAGCACATTTTGCTCTCTGGGCTGCCATCAAGTCTCCGCTATTCCTCGGAAACGACCTGCGCAACATGCCAACTTCCGCTCTCACCATCATCAACAACCCAGCCATTATTGCGCTGAGCCAAGATCCCCATGGACGAAGCGTAACGCGTGTTCGAAGGGATACGGAAGGTGTGGCGAAAGACGAATGGGGTATGGGTGAGACGCACGTGTGGGCAGGTCATCTCCAGAACGGCGATGAAGTCGTGATCCTGCTAAACGCTGGTGGCGAAGACATGGAGATGAGCGTCTCCCTCGCTGAGATCTTCATTCCCTACGGACCTGGTGGATCAGCCCCACACGTAAAGTACGACTGGGCGATCCACGACCTCTGGGCCCATCGCATGCCCGAAGCGATGGCGGAAGAGCTCCTCGCAGCGGCCTCGCACACCGAGAGAGAATCGATCCTGTCAAAGGCTGATTGGTACAACGCGACTGAGACCCCTTACGCCAAGGGCCTCGTTCAGGAGGACCCGCGGCTCTTTGGCGAGAAGATCGGCGTTGTTGAGGCTGGTGGCAGGCTCAAGGCAGACGTCAAGAGTCACGCTGCTCGCGTCTTCCGACTACGAAGAATCGCGCCAGAGGACGATCAGTTTGAGGCGAAGAGTATTGCGAGAGAAGACGGTAACGAGAGGGATGAATTGTAATGACGAAGCGATTACAAAGGTAGATTTGGTTGGACAAGAGATAGGCCGCCCCAATGGAGATTATAGAGCAACGCGGGTTTTTGGAGTTGCGATATCTCTCACTCGCGATAAATCGTGTGGGTTGTGGAAGGTATGGTTGGCTCGTTGTCTCCAGGCCATCACAGTACCACGGAACGGAGTGGATGGAACCAGACAATCAACTTCTGGGTTTTTCGAATATATAGCGATCTTGCTCATCCTCCCTCCTAACTATCTTAACCCTTACACAGGCTTTCTCTGTGTTCTTTATCTCACACAACAATCAAATCTACACCAGACGCAGCCATGACCAAAAACGCAAAGGTCACATCCCCGGCTCAAGCCACATCCACAACCCAGACGACATCATGGGAATGGTCAGCTCCATGCTTCGTTAAGCGAGCGCAGGAAGTTCAGGCCAGATTAGATCTCCATCGGCAGACTATGAATAATCTTCAGGAGAAGTATAAGAACCTTCAGGACCAGAATAAAAGCCTTCAGGACCAGAATAAAAACCAGAAGAAGGATCACGAACGCGAGTTGAACACATGTATCGGAACGTTTATTGTCGTTTTGCTCACCTTCGCCGCCTTCATGATATGTGGCTTTCTACCATCTTCTTCGCCCGAACGTTGTTCGTGTGCGCTTGAAGCGAAAGCAGTCCAGATGACGGCCACACCTACTACGGTCACAGTCACGCTACCGGTAGCCACGCCTACTACAGTCACAGTCACGCTACCCGCAGCTACCAACGCCGTGCCAACAATCAGAGCCGCCTCATCAACCGATGCTGCAACAGCAACTGAACCGGTAAGTTTTATCCCCAAGCCATACTCTCTACACAAGACTGCAGTATACTAATGCCTTGAATAGTTCTGGTCTACCTTGACTCGCGAACAGATAAGATCCGTCGTCCACAATTATCGCAAGATTGAAGATCGATATCTACACGAAGATAAGGGTTGGCAACAAGAAGAAGAGGCGAAGCAGAAGGAAATAAAGGCGCAGCTGGAAGCCGACTTTAAAAAAGGTTTTGCGCAGTGGGAGGAGAGAGTGAAACAAATATACCAGCGCAATCAAGAGGCCCAAGAAGAATTCCTGAAACAAGCCCTGAAATAGGCTGAAGAATAAGCTCGGCGTAAGCGGGGGTTGTCCGGATTCCGAGGGTGAATGGGCTGAGAACACTATCTAGAATACACAATTGGTAGACTTTTGCCTTGGATCTCTATGCAGAGCAGCGCAATCCTGCTAGATTGGCTGGCCCTCGGGATGGAGTGGTGATGTCTCAGAACTGGTCTCGAGAGCTCGAGAAGACAGAGGTTGGTTTCCACGTCATCGTAGAACAACGCCAGAGCCAGACACCTACAAAGAAGCTAAACCCCCGCATTCTGTATTGCACAAGTTAGATATAGATATAAGTGGTATTTTACTTGATGCAACTGTACGACAGAAGTGCTGTGAATGCTCCCAGGGTTGGCCATGCTAAGTGTCCCACCTCGTTTTCCCAGCATTGTATGCCTCGAGATCATTCCTACACTCGCCCGGCTTGCACGTTATTTCGCTTTATAGTCTCCACAGGGTAACTTCCTATCGGCAAGACCAGCCCAACAGCACCACGGATTCTCTTCGGTGATATACCATTCCTATCTATCTCTCCATCACCATCTCCATCTCCATCATGAACAACCTCCCCTCTTCCCCAGCATATTACCTTGGGCCGGTCAGCTGCCCCGTTCTGCCAAGTCACCGCATGGATGGCTTGAAAGAGCGCGAGCCATCAAGGACAGAAGACCTATACACAGCAGAGATTGGTCAGACAGTTAACACCATCAACCATCAGAGGAACGCGGTTAAGTTGATCATGGCGAGATGGTCCGCTGTAGACCCAGTTCACTACCCAACTATTCTAGGCGTGAGCCAAAACAACAGTAAGAGTGAGGACGTAAAGGCTGTAGTCAGCATGGTGAACATCATGCAGACCAGCTGGATCGGCCAGTCCTCTTAGGTCTAAGGCTACATCAAGGGAGAGACTGATTGGCACGATCTCCAAGCCCATATCAACAATCTCAACCGATTTCGACTCCTGCTCAAGGTACCACAGGAAAATGAGACTCCCGTGCAGAGGACCGCCTGTCGAGCTCTGCAGCGCGCATACAAGAAAGCAGTTAGAATTCATACTGAGCACACCCAGACAGGTAACCTCTAAGCCTACATCAATAACCTAAGTCGTATGAGTGCGACCTTGGAATGACTGAGCGCGGTGCCTACAATACGGTCAGATCTTAGCGAATGAGATTTCTCAAGAGAGGCGCAGCCCTACGAGCGGATACTTAGAGACTAACTGAATAACATCGGAGACCCAGAGGAATACGATGCGGTTAGTAAGTAACAGAGTGATATCCCAAAATGGACTCTGGCTACTACAAAACCACCTGTGTTGACCAGAGCCCGCGACAGGCAAAAGCCGGGAGGCTCGAGCGTACGATCAAGAAGGTTGTCGACACTGTCAATACTATGCCGACAGACAAGATGTCAGATCTAAACGAGCGAGACCCTGCGAGAGCAGCCAACGAGTGGCAGAATCTCCCAGAAAACCAGCCCAACAACACCAAAGTACAGCGTGACATAATAAATCTCATTACGGCAAGGTACCCGCAGGTCGATCCGATACATTACAGCACAGTTCTCGGAGGCGGACAGGCGAATGCCAGACACCTCGAGAGTGCCATCAAAAAATCCGTAGATACCATCACCTCTAACTGGATTGGGACTCCCTCGTGGCTTCAAGCTTTTGTCGAGGGCGAGACATGCTGGTCGGACTATCAAGTTATCACTAACAACCTCCACCGCATGTCAAAGCTCTTGAAGCTGATCCCGGAGGGCGAGACGCCTGAGAATCGCGCATTACACCTCACGCGCCGCGAAGCGAACAAGAAAGCTCTGCGCGCCCATCAAGAACACGTTCGTCTGGGAGTAGAGGCAGAAATCCAGACTGCAGAAGATGCGATAGAAGACTTGTCCACCAAGGACGGCGTGACACAGGTGAACTTCAGGGCGTTCGGGAGGAACTTGCTTTCCTCCGGGGCCATCTAGAAGGCATCATCCCCACGACCTGCCCGGCGTCTAGTTCTGGTTCGGATGGTGAGGCAGCGGCGCCCCCCCCCCCCGTCGCTCGCCGCGCCCTTCGACGAGCGGACAAGAAAGCGATCCGAAGTCACACGGGCGTAACCACCCAGACGTGGCACTGGAGCTCGGTGGCGCCGAAGCAGCACTGGAAACTGCCCCAGCGCTCAGATACGGTGTCACTCATGTCAAATGAGACGATGCCGTACTGCGTAGCATATACCGCAAGAACCCCCTCTAGCTCACAGACCTCGTGTCCCAGTATATCCTTCCGCCTTCAAAGGCGACAGCAGTGTGTCAGAGCTCGGCGACCAAGTCTCTCGTTCGAAGCTCGCTTGACTTCCCCGACAACAAGGCCCTCGCATATGCAGAGTTTAAGCGCGCTGATTCGATCCTCTACCCTCCACAACACGCAAACCCCCCCGGTTCCCACATGATTTTGTGGGTTCAGGGCTCCCCGAGCCAGAAGATGCGGACTAGGAAGCGCGCTCGAGAGAGCGATGGTGATAAGGAGGAAGGATGTGGTATGGCGGACTTCTTACGTGATGGGGAGTGAGGGGTCGTAGGCGGAGCGATTGAAAACATTGGAACGTGATGGAGACATAGGATGTCTGTATTAAGACGACTACGATTAAGTTGCATGGGAACATTGAAATTTCGCTGGAGGCGGTGATCACAGTCCAGTCGCTGCAAGCCCGATGAGCGAGATAGAGTGGAAGTACGGTCTTGAAGAGGGCGCGGGTACTACTGCTATCCATTGGGAGGAAGGCCTCGATTAACAGTACCGCGATGGGCGTCTACATCTCACTAAGATCTTGCAGCCGCCGGATCTGAGCACTGGCTGACACCTTCACGACCCCGACCGCGACGACACCACGATCCGCAACATGTACCATAGTAGCTACTATAACCTCGTCTACCCCGCATACCAGTGCTTCTGTATGTCGCAGTGCGCCGCTAAATTACAATTACGTGCACACAGATGTCGAAAGTGTCCATAACCGTAATGTTTTCACCTTTCCGGAAGACCGAAACACTGCGTGTAGCGAGTATAAGTGAGTTGGGGGGAATAACGAAAGCTTCTAGCTTTAGTGCAAGAGGTTATTAGTGCACTAGATAGATACGCGTAGGCTCCTAGGACCAGGATAGGGCTTTGTTGGCAGTATTAATAGATGTATGTAGGCCTCGCGGGTGGTGCTGCTGTTTTCTCTACCTCAGTCTTCGAAGCACGTATCCTTCTCGGGTACTGTAGGCATACCTTCGCACTTACCTCAACACCCGTATATCCTCCCCAGTACACTTCCACCATCTACGCCTCTTCTACACTACTCAACGTATTCTCCCCATCTACCAGACATACCGACACAATGATGTAGGAAAGCAACGTACTCTCCCCGCAGTGCGATAACCCAACACAATTACTTGCGAAGACTACACATATCCACCCTCCCCCTACACACCTAATCGCGTTTTCGGCCTTTCTCTTCCTCCCGCTCCACTATCCCGTACCACCCCTCACGATCGCGGAAGCACTGCTTGTCTCGCCTTACATGACCAAATGTTCATTTCTATTGTGCACATCTCAGGCTGAGTAGGCAAGGAGTAGCAACAGTGTTGATCGAAGGCCGAGATACCTGATGCTTGTTGGGAACGGGATGTATGTTATGGGTACAAGGAAAGGGTCTCTATGTTGGATTTTTCTTGGTTGGGTTTGGCAGCGGCTTGAGAATGGGAGGATGGAAGAACAGGACGGAGGGGTAGAAAAACAGCACACATGTTTGACGATATACACTCGCATTCAAATTCACACCGTCCATCTTAATCGCTCGATCTATGCATCTAGCCTCTCATCTCGCTCCCCTAACAGCCCTACTCCCCCGCCCGCTGCCCTCCCCTTTCACTCCTATTCTAACCTACAACTCATCACTCCCCTCCTCCCTCCCCCCCTTCCCATCTCCCTTGCCACCCTGCGCCACCAACCTCTCAATAGCAGCCTTAATATCCTCCTCACTCGCCCCTTCTCCAATATCCAATTTCTTCAGCAACCTGCCCTTCTCATCCGTTACATCCCCCTCTCCCCCCTCCTCACCAGTCTGACTCCCCATATTGCTCAGCTTAATACCCTCAGCGCTAAACCCCGCCTTCTTCAACGCCTCCTCCAACTCCGCCTGACTAGGCCCGCTCTCACCATCTGCAGCGGGGACATCAGTCTCCTTGGTCTCCGCCTTCGCCGCCTTCTTCGTCTTAGTCTTCTTCGCCTTCTTCGTCTTGGGTTTAGCAGTCTTGGTCTTGGAACTGGATTGGTTCGGGGGCTTGAAGTGCTTCATCTTCTTCATCATCATGTCCATGACGACGTCGTCTAGCTTCTTCTTCTCGGCCAGGATGTCCTTGACCGTGAAGACGGGATCATCTGTGGGACCAAGTTCAGCCTGCTTGGCTTCGTTGTCGTCGAGCCAGACCTGTGCTTTCTGTGCGTGTTCTTGGACGGTCTTGAGGTCGGATTCTGTGTAGATGGTAGGGACTTCGGTGATTTCAGGTGCGGCGGGTGCGTCGGCTTCTTCGTCGAGGTCGTCCATGGGGTCGGTGGAAGGTGAGGCGGATGCGTCAGCGGAGGCTTTGGAGACGGCTTCGCTGCTCTTGGAGCTCTCGGCGGATTGCGTCTTGATCTGGCTGTCGACTAGTTGCTCGACTTCCTTAATGTGGGCGATGGTGTCTTTGAGCTCTTTGATAGCGTCGGGGCGCTTGGCGGCCTCATCCTTGCGCTTCATCACTGGTTTGACAATGTCCTCGAGGTCCTTCAGCTTGCTCTTGAGAGTCTTCTCATCTGCATCGGCACCGCCGGAGTACATCCAGTCTGAAGCAGCGCTGAGTGCCTTTTCAAGTGTTTCGCGGACGGCAGAGGTGGAAGCTCCGATGAAGGATTCGTCCTCGAGGTAATCGCGAGCGCGGTAGGTGAAGGCTTCAAGCGAGTTCAAGACCTCTTCGCGGGTGCGGCGAGACTTGTCAGATGAATCGAAGGCGGCAAGCCTGTCGACGTTAGTCTTTGAACGCACACAACAAACTTCACAAACTCACCTGTCCTGCATCCTCTTCAACTCCTTGCGAGGGAACTTCTTGTAACCCAACTGCTCGACATCATACGTAATCGCCGACCTAACAGTCTTGATCTTCTTCTCACCAGCCTTCGCAGCATCAGTGCTCTCAGCACCTGCGGAAGACGAAGACGACGATGACTTGGAGGACTTTGAGGACGAGGCAGATGAAGAAGAAGAGCTCTCGCCCTCCTTCAACGGCTCCTGATCCTTCTTACCACCCATACCAAACAGATTCTTGACACCATCAACAATGCCGCCCTTGACATCCTCACTCTCAGTCTCGCAGGTAACCCACGCAGACAAGACCTCAGGAGTACCAGTCACAGGGCTAAGCCTAACCTGAACGTAGTTGTTGAAGCTGTCGCGCTCGCACTTGTTCTCATTGATCATATGAGTAACGACCTTAGTCAGGTTACCGCTCTGGAAGTGAAGAGTAGGCTCCTTGGACACCTCGCCGTTAGCGCCAGGAACAGCCTGGTACATGGTGAATTCGAACTCGCCCATAAAGTTGAAAGGTAGGTCCTTGACTGCTCCAAGCTTGGTGTTGGGGGTGAAGATCTTCTGGTCGCGCTCCTTAAGGTTGAGCATGTACTGGTAGCCGTGGTTGTAGCCCTGGGTGTCCGAGTCGCGGATCTCCTTGACGCGGAAAGAGGGGCTGAGACCAGCGGCCTTGAATGCAGCGCCAAACACGGCGGCCTCGTCGGCGTTGACGTTGGCCCTGATCTTGCTCTTGCCTGCGACTGCCTCGAGACGGGCCTGGACAAAGGGTGTGCGGCTCGCGCCACCGTGGACGATGACAGAGTCGATATCCGCAAAGGTAAGGCCAGCGGCTGCGAGGGCCTGGTTGATCGGTCCATCGATACGTTTGGCGTAGTCGGCAGTAAGCTCCTCGAACTTGGTGCGAGTGAGCTTATACTTGAAATCGACATCCTCGTAGAAGCTCTCGAAGAAAGAGTTAGTTTCCTTGTTAGCGCTGAGCATCTGGCGAACCCTCTCAGCCTCCTTGAAGAGCTTCGCGGCGGTACGTCCATGACCCTTGACCTTGTCGGCGGTGAAAGAAGCGCTCTTGGCAGCTGGAAGCTCAACAAAGGTAGCCACCATGTCGTCGACGATGAGCGAGTTCATCGCATCACCTCCAAGCGTCCTGTCCCATCCAGCGCCCATGACCTGAACCTCCTGGATAGTCTTGTTGCGCCTGCCAACATCCTTGACAGACCTGCCCTGGAACTTGAGAACAGTAGCCGATAAGGATCCAGCGCCCATGTCAAACACGAGGTTCGTCTCCGGCTTACCATCCTTGGTAACGTCGGGGAAAGTCCTGCCAGTAGCGTAGTTGAGACCAACAGCCAGACCATCAGACACAACGCTGAGCACCTTGAGACCAGCCAGACGAGCAGCAACCTCAAGTGCGCGCCTCTCGTCGACCGTGTAGAATGCCGGAACCGTAAAGACAACGTCCTGGATATCGTAGCCCTTGCCCGCCATGGCCTTTGCGTTCTCCCTGACGTTCTTCAGCTCCATAGCCAGTAGCTCCTCGACCGTGTATGATTTGTCCTCAGCGAAGACGCTGCTCACAAAGCTAACCGTGTTGCGCTTGTCCGTTCCTGCAACCTCCAACGCAGGGTATCTCTCCTTGTACGTGCCCACGATATCGCTCTCACTCGACACACCAAGAAGGTGTTTCAGATTCGGGTAAACATCGCCCGGGAAGCGTCCCTGGAGCGCAATCGCATCGCCGCCGTAGAAGCGCTCGGGGAAGGAGCCCGCAGGTAAAGCGCCGCTCTTGGAGGGCTTGAAAGCGACGGCGGACGTCTCTTTCCGTTTCGAGTCCTTGGTCAGGACGATTTCGAGGGGAACACCGGGCTTTACGAGCGC